CACACTCCGCTTCACCACACTTCACCTCCCCACACTTCACTTCCCCACACTTCACTTCACCGCACTGCGAAACACCGAGCGGTAATGTCTTTCTTACAGTCGTTCCCTCAGTTTCACAACGTAACTTCACGCCACTGCACTGCACATAATTATTAATATTAATAATAATAATAATAATAATAATAATAATAATAATAATAATAATAATAATAATAATAATAATACTTAATTACATAGAAGACATAGTTACTTACACTGAATGTTATTAAATATATTTATAACACACATATCAACATTCAGGAAACTGATTAATGGAAATATTTGAAAACAATTGCTAGATTTTGAGTTGGCAGCTTTGCAATCGTTTGAGAGAGTTGTGCATGCATTTCTCGGGACGAAGAAAGAAAACAATTATAAAACATTTGCCGCAGAGTGGTTAGAAACCTACAAAACCATGAGGTAGGTGTAGAATGTCTCTGAAAAATTCATTTTCTTCACTCCCATCTTACTTTTTCTCGCAGAATTTGGGGATATTAGTGATGATCATGGTGAACAGTTTAATCAAGATTTTGCGACAATGGAAAAGAGATACCAAGGGCGTAAGCAATTGCTGGTTTCTTGTCAGAGAGTAAACAGGAACAAGATCAAGTGACATGGTGCAAACCATTTCTAATATATGCAACAGGAATTTCTCCTTCCAAAATGTTTCAATATTATTGCACGAATACGTGTATTCCATTTTTAACTTATTCTTACCTCATATGAAGCATGCTCATAAAATTTTGTGGTGATTTGAACGGAGTGACAATGCGGAAATTTGTATAGGATTTTGTTTACTCCAATTGAATCGTTTATTTCAGAAACCCAACAAAAGCCAAATTCCACATTTCGAGAAAACTGAGAATACGTCTCTCATTTTTTCCGATTTCATAATATTTTATTAAAGGAGTTGATAAATAAATATTTTTCATATAAATATACACTAAACGATGTGTCTATTCTCCTAGAAAGCGTGTTTTATATTTTGCCGATTGATGGGTTTCTGAAATAAACAATTCAATTAATAAACGTGTTCATATCTGCGTGATTGAAATTTGGTTTATTAATTTTTGTAATCAGCGTGATTGTTTCCTTTGAAATCACCTACTTCCATCCTGGAGGTATGAAAAAAATAACACTTTTGTTCCCTAGTGTTTTTGATGTTTCCGAGCACGTCAACTACTATCGTCATTAGTCCCGTTTGTGTAGTGAATGTTTAACCGAAGAGGAGACAGTGTTCCCCCACTGAATCGTGAGATCCCGTTAGTGTAGTGAATGTTTAACCGAAGAGGAGGCAGTGTCCCCCCCCCACTGAATCGTGAGATCTCGTTAGTGTAGTGAATGTTTAACCGAAGAGGAGGCAGTGTTCCCCCCCCACTGAATCGTGAGATCTCGTTAGTGTAGTGAATGTTTAACCGAAGAGGAGGCAGTGTTTCCCCCCACTGAATCGTGAGACCCCGTGAGTGTAGTGAATGTTTAACCGAAGAGAGGGCGGTGTTCCCCCTCTGAATCGTGAGATCCGACGCCGACCTACGCATCGACTTCTGTTTCTCTCCACCTCCAGGTATCTCCCACCTGTGAGGCGCAGTCCCAGCCAGGACAAGCTCTGTGATCGATTGCGGGTTCCCGACGTTTGTGGTAGAGTGGTAATGCCCGTAAGTGTAAATGCGTGTGTCAGGGTAGAGAGGGGGACAATAAAGGGGAAGGAAAGATCGCGCGCGGCCCGAGATCCCATTGATGCGGTATTTTTCCGCCTCGTATTCATCGAAAAAAGCTCAGAACACTACCGATCAGAGTAGAGTACCTTTCAGAGGAGCCGAGGTCCCCCTAGAAACTTTTGACAAGGTTCCTACAGCCCTACGAAACAAAACGTTTAATTACATAGATTTTCTTATTTTCCCTTTTATGGAGCTGATGATTTGGGGAATTGATACATGACATTTCGAAAAGAGGCTTTCCAAAAAACATGGCAACCTGTAAATGGTCTAACAATTTAATTGTAATTAAGAAATTTAGTTCACGAAATTTGGTCAGAGTGAGTAGAAAAAATTAAATCATTAGTTTGCCGACGTTTTGGATTAATAGCCTGATATGCAAAAATGAAACAAGTAATTTAGTAAGGTAATTTAGTAAAGAATACACATCTTGTTTCATTTTTGCATTTTATGTTATTAATTTGTGTAGTGTATATTCATCTTCATGTTGTCTTCACGCTTTATTTTTTTTTTACACCAGCCCTGAGGAAGAAATAAAAATATTCCGAAACATCGGCATGGTTTAATTTTTCTACTCACTCCGACCGAATCCCGAGAACTACATTCCTAATTACATCATACTCGTAGATTCTACAATGGTTAATTAATTGTATATGCTAATTGTATCCTGAAATTTACAATGTCATTTTCTTTGTATAACTTTATCATTTCCTAGAAAACTACGGCACGTGCAAATAAAAAATAAGAAAAAAGGAAGATCTGAGGGGTCCCAAAATGTATTTCCCCCTTCTTCCCCCTTTTGTTTTATCTTGGCGCACACCTGTGTGTGTAAGCAATACAGACTGCCTCATGGTTCAGTTTTAAGCGTTAAATAAGTTCATCGTTTGTTTGTAAGCATATGGGTACTACAAACATTTCATTACCACAACCAGAGCCTCAGGGACCGATCTTCAGAAGGGCCCCTGCCCCTCCCAATGAACCTTGCCAAAGTACGAATTTACTTTCGTTACTAATAAACAAACAACTTTCCCCAGTTGAGCGTTTTCCCGGATCTCGGACTGATATTTTCTTAGATCAATGACGAAAGGGCTTTATCGTAATAGGGAATCTTGCCATGGTGCGACCTACAAAGTTAAGGAAGTGTGGAGTTTAAGAGGAAGGAAGTAAGTATTGCTTGTGATCTGAGTCCCGTTGTAGTGTGCAGCGTTGTTATGTAAGGAACGGCTGTGGACAGACTTTTGTCGTGAAGTAATAGTATGAATGTACTTTCTCCCGCATAGGTCATGAATGACATACCAAGAATACACAAAACAAAGAAAGAATTTGCGCTCAAACGAAAGAAACAATTTTTAACGTCTCTTAAAAAATGTATTTATAATTATAACAATTAAAATAGAAGAGAGATCACACAGTCCTGAGTGTTTCCTTTTCAATGAGTCAAGGAGCTACCTTATTCATTTTCAAAAATGGATTCCGTACTGAAAAAATAAAATGAATAAAATAAAGGTTTTTCTAAGGTAATTTTACAAGCCACAACTTAAAAACGTGACGCTAAGGTACTAATTTTCAAGTAAACCTTTTTTCTTCATACATTGTACATTCGAATTTTGTGGGTCCCTCTTCTCTCGCACACACATCGCAGTATGCTGTTAATGTCCCTATGTTCTCTTACCTTCTTTTCAACCATAAATCATTTTTAAAAAAGGACAAATTTGTGCAGTGTAATATGTAATATTTGGTAATAAAACAATAATTAGTTTTCATTTAATTCTATTTAATATAATACATTTTTCGTATAGTTGTGATATAATATCGTATAGTTTAGTATAACATAAACATATAGTATAGTATATACTTTCGTATAGTAGACATATCGTATAGTATAGTATAGTATATACTTTTTAATTCATAGATCAGTAGAACCTCGGTATTCCAAAGTAATTGGAGGGTGTAGTCTTTTAGGATTCAGAAATGTTCGGATTATCCGAGAAAATCTACCGTACATGTACAAATACATCAATAGGATTACCCGACACAATGCAACATAGCGTGCGATGTGAGAAAATGGCAGCGTGCTATAGCACTTCACATCGCATCATCCAACAGATTCAATTCCTTACGGCAAATGAAGATTACAGATTTTGCAAGTTCCTTTCAGTGAAAATTACTGCTACGTAAACATGTGATATACACCGTAGTTACCAGTGCAATAAACGTTTCATTTGGAATTGTGTTTCAATAATTAGTTGTTCAGTTCTACAGTAATTATAAAACCCTTTCTTTACACTATATAAATGCATTTTATTTATTTTTCCCTCTATCCCGAATTTTGTTCGGATTATTTCGGATATGCAGGGTTCCACTGTATTAAGAAGCTCCACACAAATTTCTTTATCCGGAGGCACGGTCCTGGTCCCGCAATTTTGAGTCAATAAGTTGTGATGATGATGTCGTTTCATATATTATTATCTAGAACTGTCGTAATAATTCATGAAACGTATTTTATAGTTACTGAATGACATCGCGTATGTCTTCTCTGCCTCAATTTGTAGGTCACCTCTATCTGTTTTGGAAGCATCAGTTACCTAAGCCAGGATATATCGATTCTGTTCTTGCAGATTCGAAGTAAGATGTAAAATCTGCGGAACAAAACATTACAAACAGCTTACTTAGAAAAATTTCAAGACCGTTGTTTCAAAAAAACAACAATAGGTATTCTTTATCTGACCATTGCGTTCCGGCTCAAAAAATGCTCTTTGAAAAGTTATTTTATGACGTCTTTCAAAACGTAAATGTTAGAACGAAAGAATAGCCGACTTTAGATAAGGTCACTCTGGTTTTGCGCACGACACGGCATTTGTTCATTCAAACGACTTCAATAGAGCGCGGACAATGGCGAGACAGATACCGAACGGCGTAAATACGGAGGTTATTTTGATACACGTAACAGAATGAGGGCTTGGAACTCATTCATTTCCTTACGCAAAACGGAGCGAGTTTAGTTCTCCATACCGCTACCAGATAACAGCGTCAGCGCTTCGGGCGCTGTCGCCGCGATGTTCAGAACTGTAATAAACAAGAAAGATGCGGTACATTCGTGTATCTGACGGACGTAAATTGTTCCTCGTAAGTTGCAGGTGCGTGTGTGTGTAAAAAACAAGCGTCGCAGACGTTTCGCGTGTGTGTACGAGCCCTGGATAGAACACGCACCGTGCACGTGGGAGCCGTTGTTTTCGTTCGTAACAGATGGCAGCGCTCGTCGACTTCCGGTCGTAGCGGACACGAGCCGAAGCCCGAGGATCGGCGGCCAGGCGGTGGCCGCAGCACGGGAGGATGTTCAGTCGGTGATTGTTGTGTCTGTTCGGGTATCGCCGTTTGCGTTGACATTTAGTCACGGGAGCGAGTGTGACAGTTAAGTAGTGGCATGTTTAATGAAGTGAACATGGTGCATCGGTGACCCGGATTCCAGTGTGCTTTACAGTTGTGCTTGATTGGAGCGGAGGCATGCGTTGTGACGTGAATGTGATCATGTCTAGCGGATCAGATCCTGTCCTCGTTCTACATTTGTGAATCTTCGTTTCGCGCATCATCATTACGTGATATTTGTGAGTATATCGCGCTACTTTTTGTTTCATAGTTGTATGAAATACTTTTAGATTTTCTTTCGATCGCATAGTCAATGAATAAGGTTAGTGGGATTTGCGAGCATGCGGTCACACCTTTTTCAAAATAATTGCTTTTTATATGTCGATTTCTCATTGCAAAATGCAGTCCTCTTTCCAAACCTTGGCGTTCCTTCATCGTTTGGTGGAACTATTGCGCAGTTAGATGTCGGGGGAGGCAGTGCTGTGACCCCCAACAAACATAACCTTGACAACATGTGCTAAGTGACTGACCTGAGCTCACAACAGTCGTATCGCTGGTTCTTTTGTTGACAAGATAAATTTCGTGATTTTCGTAATTTTTTACCAGAGTTGACTGTTAATATTTAGGCTCAATTGTTTAGTTTCGCATTTTCACATTTACTGTCAGTTTGACGGATGTGTGGTTTTATGTTTGTTTTTCCGCGGTTGTACCTGTAAGAGCTTATTTTTTTCAAACGACCGTACTTCCTAAACAAATTTATTTGGATTGGGTTTCCTTCCCGTTCATTCCTCCACAATAAGTTAAATAATTTTTGATGAACAAACTGATTATAAACTTTCTTTGTGCGTGACTATATGCCGTTATGACAATGACATCAAATCTGTTCGCATTTTTTTGTTACTGAAGAATATTTTCGACTACTATTCGTGCGCATATTAAATGTTTCCATGTTTCACAATGTTGCACAGTAGTAGTTTTTGATTTACATTCTAATTAATGTGTTCTCTTACTGATTATATTCCCATTGTTGGTCATTAATTAAGTTTTCACTGTTTTTTTTTTTAATTTTCATTAAATAATAATTTTTCCTTAATTATTTTACTTGAAAATCCTTTTTGTCATTCAATTATGTATATAATACCTTTAAATGAACTTGCTTATACCCATTTTGCAATCACAATCTGTAAGGGTCAGTGATTCTGGATAGCATCAGTGTTTGGAGCAGGCATAGCTGTGATAACCCTGTGGACTTATCTTAAGTTGTAAATACCAAGAATGATGGAAAGACTTGTTTCAGTGCATGTGGTAAAAGCTGGGATGAATCTATTGAATATTTTGCAGATTTTGTAAGAAATGTTTATATAACAAATAGTTAGAATAACCATTTGTTATAACTTGATTAGTATTGAAATGCCAAGGAATTTTCTGAAGAAATAAAAATATTGTAATTTACTTTTCATGATCCATTTTTAAAGACCCATATTTTATGTTGTGCTCTCTGACGACAAAAAGGAAAAATGGAAAATTATTAACCAGAAAATAGAAATGGAGAAATTGAAATTGTTGAGTTTTATGAAACAAATAAAACAAAATACTTCAGATTTAGGGAGTTAACTAAATGTAGTACACAGAATCCAGAGCTTAGACTTATGAAATAGTTTTCATAATTGTAAAATTAATAACAGTAATAGAATCATATGGTTGAAAGTATTTGATCATAATTTCTTTTTCCATGGCCATTTTCACCAATAAAAATTTGTTTTTAATTCTAAGGATATTTCTTTATTGGCCTATTTCTGTATGGAATTATGACATACTATTTTTGTGTTCTCTTACAATTCAGTTAAGAGACTACATACATGTTTAGGTGTTAGCTAAATTAAGCCAGTTTCAGGAATGAATCTTTTAAAATAATTTTGGAGAGTTATTTGTGGTAATTTTATTTGCTATTTTTCAACCTCAAGAAAACTTGCTCCCATTGTGCAGGTATAGTAATTACTCTTGTTCAAGTTGTTATAGACTTGGCCATTTGTGCATTTGAAACTGTGAATGGTTTAGTATTAAAACTAATTCAAGGTTAAGTTTTATTGTGTGCCATTAAACACACATATGTGTTGTCCGTTTGTATTGCAGTACTCCAGTATCTTAAATTCAGTTTTATTGCATCTCATAAAAAACTCATTGAATCTTTGGTACTCTTGGCCTTATGATGACATGTGGAGTCATTGGTCACAATTAATCTAAAGTTATCTAGCGTAATTCGCAATGCATATGATTTTGCGTACTTTTGGTTTGCGTGGAGTGTGGATATTGTTTCATTACAATGGTACACCCAAAGCGGAAAAAGGCTCGCAAGGCTTCATCCAATAATTCATATTCGAAAATATAGCTTTTATTGATTTTGTATTTCAACAAAAGTCTATGAATAAAAATAAGTTTTAATTTAAGCATAAATTAAAAAAAAAAATCCTTATAAGAAAACGGCAAGTTGTTCACTCACTGTATCTGTAACCCTCCCCAGAGAAAAGCTCTGCTTGCTCTTCTGTTGTATTTGTTTTATTACAGCCTACTGATCTCCATGAAAAATGAAATATGTTGAGAAAGGCAGAAAATGTAATAATTCAGAATTATATTTTTGAATTTATGAATATATAAAAAATGGACTATACAGACATTTCAACTAATTTCATAGTAGTACAAATGACACTTAAAGTTGCTAGCATTAAGGTTTTCATAAGTAGTGATTTAGGAAAGAGTTTCCTGATTCAATTTTATTATGATGATAATGTAGGAACGTGCTGGTGGACCAATTCAATTTTAAACATTTTATTTAATTAACGTTAATATTTTACAACCTGTTACACTTTGAAGTTATATATTATATTATTCTTTCTTTTGGGTAATTATGAAAAAATACTCTTGTTTCTCTTCAGCTTTACTTCATTAAAAAAATCAGTGGATCTCTTTTTATATTATAATAATGCTTCAAACAATATGTAGTTCAAAATATTGGATGGCATGTTTTATACCAAAAGAAGGGGACTTGTATGTTCATTAACCATAAATAAATACTAATTTATTTACAGAGAGTTGATGGTTGCTTAAAATGGGTTTATTAATTGTTTTGATTGTTTGCAAACAATGTTTACAGTACTACATAAATATACTTCAATTTATGCAAATGAACTCGTATAAATCAATAAAACTTCTTATCTGCGACTCATGATTAATGTCACAATAAAAACGACGTTTTGTCGTCCGCTATTAATGCAATCAGTTGTTCACAGGAGGACGCTGGTGCTATTTCTTTAATTTTTGACGACATTGCTTTGCTGCCCCGAAAGAAAAACTAAAAGCGGCTCATAAGTGGCATAAGGAGTGGTAAAGGATCAAAGGACAAGAAGAAAAAAATATCCTTATTCTGCCTTTCCTTCTTTTTTCAGGTGGCTAGATTTTTTTCGTTCTTTTTTCGGGTAGGTAGATCAGGCCATCTTGAATTTCTGTACCTTAGGGGCAGGCTTTTTGTTCGGAAACCAGGGGAAGATTTAAAAATTAATTAACCACTTAATTGAAAAGTCATAATTGATTGTGATTTTGAAAGCAATATGAAACTGTTTTGTACAGTATGAAGCACCTTAGCGGATGCAGTGAAACGACTTAAATAGCTAGCAATGGTTCCGGTAAAAATAGGTCCTTAATGAAAATGCACGCTTAATCGAGGTTACTGGAAGTGTTAATCTAATTATGCTAACTGCTCTGAAATGAAGCACATTCTCTTTACACCTTTTGTTTACCATTAACGCGAAAATAAAATATAAACAAGGTATTTAGGACGATTTGTCTCCTCTCGGGTAATATCAGAACACATCTTTGATTCGTCACTTATTCTCTTGGTCAAGAAAGTCGCTTTCCCTTCTCGCCGATTTATCGTAGCATGCTCCGCGAGTCTTTTAACAGGTTCCCACAGGAGGGAAGCACGAGTTTGCAAATCAGAGGAATGCTGTGAAATGCGAGAAACGAACGCGTTGCTTCATTACGAGGGATATTAAAATCATTTGTTACCCGAAACAAAACGTAATTTCCTGCGAGAAAAATTACTATGGAAGTAATTATTCGAAGTAATGTGACGATGCGCCCTGACATGGGAAAGATATTAAATCAACATTAGGCTTTGCTACTTTTCTTTAGACTAATTCAGTTCAAAATCGCTTTGAATGGCCGCTTAATATGGAGTCTGTCATGAGACGCACCTGATCGCGCTGGCCGCTTGAGAAGATCGCTACTGAAAAGGGAATTTTTACATGGGTCTTATGGATAAATAATCCCGTTTAGCGAAAAAAATGGCCGTTCATAGAGGTGACCGTGTGAGCAGGTTTCACCGTATCACTTTTGAGCCTCTGCACATGCGCAGAAGTTGAACAGTGGTGTGTGTACGAAGGTGCATCCCGCCTTACACAAGGTGTCTCTATTGAAAGCACAACTGCACTCGTGCAGCTGACTCAGGAGTGCTCAAAAATCGCGCCGCTAAGCTTGCCCCTGCAACCGAACAAATTTCGAATCGCTAGGTGCCTCTGCAATGATGTTGGCCGGAAGGTCCTAAGGTTTTTGCACTGGCTAGATAGGTCGGGTTCAACCACTGGTTTGGGAAGAATACTAGTGGTCGGCTGCTCTGTCAGGTAGTTTCACGTGGTTGCTCCGATCAACACCAGGCGAATGCCGGAGCAGTTCCCTAACAAACGGGCCACGGACCTCGCGGGATCTTTCCTTCCTCATTCTTGTTTTCTCCACTCCTCTTGCACACAAACACACATTCACACTTACTGGCCCTTCACTACCACACGTGTCAGGAGAATAGTCGGGAGTTTTCTCTTTGAATGACCTTTTCATGAACTTTTTTGTTATTTAAGGTCGCATCAACTTGTAGGTCATTAGCGGCCATTGCTTGTAATGGTATGGCAACCTGTGAGGATAACACGATAGGATGATAGGGGGTGAAAGGACGAAACACAATACAACCATGCCCGAGACGGGACTCGAATCCGCGATCCTT